GACTGCAAAATGTCTGCAGATGTCAGTGTATATGAAGTTCTCTTACTTATGTGTACCTTCGGTCCTTTTATCCAATTCTGCAGCCATTCTTATGGTGAATACGTGTTCGATCATTCATGGGCTGATGCCTATTACAGTTATGGGTCGAGATATTATCCAAAGTTACAATGTTGTGTGCCGTTCACTCCAGTAACTGGCTCGAGGATCTTAGTTCGTAATACGGATTACAAAGATCAGGTCTTTGATATTTTAGTCTCTGCTTTGGTGGCACTTACAATTCAGGTAATTACAGATGAGTTCTAGTTTTACCCTTAACTTTTATAACTTCATTTTCGGTTCACGTAAAGCTATAATTGTATGAAAATCCTCAACTCTGCTTCTATTACACCTGCACAGAAATTGTGTGTAACAACACATGTGTGTCCCTTTTTTTCTGTGTGAAAAATGTTGTGGTGTCTACAGTCCATTTTCAAGTTTGATCACCGTCTTTCCTATAAATTGCCACAAAGTTCAGGCAAATGTTTGCTCTTTAAATTTACTATTTAACCTTGAACTCTCTAACAAGATTTGCATCATATGACATCAGGTTTAATAGGTTAAATAGCACCCTGAAATAATTAATTTTGAGAAAAATTCATGAGGCATAACTGTGACCCTGCTGTTACGAGCAAATATTTATAAGAACTATCTGCAGAACATATTCAACTACGTTTTTATCTGTTTCTTTTGCATATTTTCCAAGGCATGAAATGACCACTTTACGATGTCTTATGGTTAGTATTAACATATCTGTGTCTTCCCAGTTTCAAGTTTCATCTCTACACGTCACTTTTCCCTCTGCTGGTGAGTGGGGGAAATTGAAGGAGAAGGGTTTCCTGCAAAGAATTGGTATGCAGTATCACTGGAAAAATCGTAATTACAAAAGGTAGCTACTGGTTTCTACTTTGCTCTATGAAATGGCTGAATGGAGAATGTTCCAAATTAAATTTGCATGTTTTTCTTTCTTTTTGAATTCGTAGTGGTAGATTCATATTACGTTCTGTTTATGTAACCTGAGATTCCTTCCAAATTATTAGTAATAAATGTCCACAAGTATGATTAACAGTATGGTACTTTTTCTCGAATGAAATCTTATTGTCGTGATGTTTTGAAAAGTTTTATCAATATCCTTGTGGAATATAGCTAAGAACATAGTTCCATGCATAATCTCTAGAACTCCTTAGTTTCAAACCATGGAGTGGAAACTGACTCGTGATTACGTGAATACTTTGGTGGCTATGAGGATTTGTGCTACGTTTCTTATCATCCTTATAGAAGGCCGCCCATACACTAAATTTGTTGTCTCCCGAACCTTCCGCAACACGTCAAAATTCTTCTTGATGATCTGGTACCTTCTAATATCTTTTAGCTTCTGTGCATGAAGCATATTGGTTAGTTTGATGTGATCAACCAAAAAATTGTGTTATCTGGTTTATAATAATCCGTCTCCCTCATTTTTTTGAACGACGACTATTACAAGAAATTAGACCTTGCCTCCTCATCTCGGCCTGTCAGCCACAATTTCTATCACATAGCAATATGGTTAGAATAGTTCAGGAAATGTGGGATCTTCTTGTCTTCGCTAATGATTTTTTAACTATTAACAGTTTTGATGAATTCTTGATGGACATGAAGCAAAGTAAAAGGAAAAATATTCGTCAAGAGCGCAAGAAGGTAAGGTTTGGACTTATTGATAGCTTGTCTTTTTTAGGAATATGAGGACAGATGGCAAGAATCGTTGGTGAAATTTGTTATGAGGAATTTCTTATACTTGGCTTGATTATATAAAAGTCAAGCTAAAGTACAGCTTTGAGTAAATTGGGTGAGGGACTAGACTAATAATAATATATTTTGTTCCGCCTAGTGCTACTTATGTTTTAGGATGCTTTTGACCAGATATACTTGCTAATAATGTAAACTAGTTCCGTCTTGCAGATTTCTGTCCAGAATTTGACCATGCGACGCCTAAGAGGATACGAAATTAAGGTATCTTTCAGATTATCAACATACTTTGTATTCTAAAAAAATTACTCTCATGTTCGGCGGTACATGTTACTTATGCTTTATTACTCAATTTTCTTCTTGTGCTAAGTTTGAACTTTGTTTCACTGTTGGTTGCTCAGGCTAAGCACTGGGATACATTCTATAAGTTCTACAGAAATACTACAGATAACAAGTTTGTCCACTGAACCTTATATTTTCTTAGTGGAACCTTTCCAGAAAGTATAATTAAAAAAAAAAATTGAATATTGTTCAATTTTTTTTAATTATATTTGATGTCTTCAGGTGGGGTAGTGCTTATCTAACAAGGGATTTTTTCCACAATATGGCTTCAAAGATGGGTGATAATGTGCTTCTGGTTACAGCCCAAGAAGAGGACAAACTTGTTGCTGGTGCACTTAATCTTATTGGTGGAGATACTTTATATGGGCGCTTATGGGGATGCCTTCCTGAAGCATACTACCCGAGTCTACACTTTGAAGCCTGCTACTACCAGGTTTCTTTTTTCTTCTGCACATCACATGTGGTATAGATCAGTTGAAAATGTTTTGTATCGTCAAAACTTTCTTGTTATTTTCTATTATGTTTCATGATCCTGCTCATAGTGCTTCAGATAATTAGTGTTGAATGCTTGGAAAGGCTTCGGGTTTTGCTTGCATTCCTTCTCCAATGATAAGTTGGAATAACCTTAACAATCGCCAGTTGATTTTCGAAATTACAAAACCACCCTTAGGATTAGTTTTGTTCACATTCGGGCCCTACCAGTCCAGCAGTCACTGACTTGACAAAATATAATACCGTGAAACTATCGTTTTTGCTATTTGTGATATTTGGAAAAAAAATGTAGGATAAAGATGCAAAATGTTAAGACTAAATTGAGATGATTTGTAATATTCTAACACAAGTTTAGGATACAAATGTAAAAATATATTATTATGTCAGCACTTTCCGCTGGCTTATTAGATCCATTAATAGCGTGACTTTTCTCCTCGTATATAATTTGGTGTACATGTACTCACATGAGGTGGAGTTACTCAAATAGTTTAAGTGCCACCAATATGTACACTGAGCATTACTAAGAATAACAGATGAAAAATGTAATGAGGGTGTAGCCTCAAAGGTGGGTTTTGTATATCTCGATGTTAATTTATCTTACAGAAAGTACATTAAATAAATTTTTGGTATTCCTCAAAGGCACTTTTTATAATTATCTTTTAGACCTTTAAACATTTACTTCCTGAAACATTATTCTTGTTACTGTTATCACACTGCAGGCCATAGAAGCAGCTATCGAACTAAATCTTGACAAGGTGGAGGCTGGGGCTCAAGGTGAGCATAAAATTCAGAGGGGTTATATGCCGGTGACGACCTACAGCAGTCACTATATTGTGGATGAAGGCTTCAGAAAAGTCATTTCGGATTACTTGCTACGAGAAAAAGCTCAGGTAATAATGTAGTTTCTATTCCTTAATGTAATTACCAAACATACCGTAAAGTGCAGCTTTGTTCTGACTTCTGAATAAGCTAGTTAGCTGTCAAAATTATAAATAACCCCTCTTGAATCGCAAAACATATCCGGTTATTTTTGTTTTCGTTAATTCGTTGTATAACTAGCGTCAATGAATTATTTACAGCTTGAACTCGTGATGAAGTTATTACAAGATTCTGGCCCGTTCAAGGATAACGTCGCGTGAACTGCTGTATGTATGTAGAACTTATTGTTGTGCAGAAGAATAGGATAACATTCTTCACATGTTAGTTATTGATGGGCATTATTTGAGGGATGGGAGTACAAATAAAGCAAAAAATCCTTGTCTGTCTATAATTTTCACTACAGGCTTCCCCCACTGTAGTAGTACTGTCTGTAGATGTGAGAGCAGCATTGATATATGTACATATGTTGCATGACCAGTTTGTATATAATATTATTATTAGATTCATGCATGAGTGAAAACAAAGGTGCCACATATCAAAAATCTTAGGAATAACTAAACACTACTGCTAAGATTTGATATGATTACAGAAGAGAAAAACAAACTAAGCTTTAATTTCTCTTGAAAAAAAAAAATTGTATCAGAACCTTTTAATTGGAAGATTTTGAAATAAAATAGTACCAATAGCCAATAGCAGTAATTAATAGTTCAAACGACCAAAATTTATAGTAACAAAACTTATTTTTTTTCTACATTGACAGTCCAGTACAGAGATCCAGTTCTGTACAACAATGATGTAGTCTAAGCAACAATATTGTCCAAAAGAATGAACCATCACACAATAAACTTAGTCCAATATATAGACCTGTTTTCCTACTCGCAAGCGAAATAAATATATGCATTTTTGGGAAGTGGATTGCAAGCAAGTCAGGCAAGAAACCGGTGGATTTCCTAAAAAAAGATATGTTCTTCAGGCATCCAGCAGTCTCTCGTCAAGTATCGATTGTTGTTCGATCGTAAAGATTTATTAACACAATGAACGGGCTACTCGTGGTGCTTGAGGTGTGGGTAGAGTCCCAAAACATGCTCGGGCATGAAATCGTGCCTTGTCAAGATTCCAGCAACCGGGGGCCGCTGCAAATTTCACAATGAAAATTATAAAGCTGATCATCTCAGGCTACCTTTGAACAGTAAAAGTGTTTCCCGAGGATATATATATATATATATATATGTACATATATATCTTCCAAATTCACTCGCACGGTTTTTGTACTTCATGAATTGCAACATCTTTAGGGGGAGTGCTCGTGGTTTTATAAGATAATAATTGTGTGAGATCAAAACCTGGAGTTTGTTTTCGCAATTATCCCTAAGTATAAGAAAACAGGTAAAAACTTGATTTTTGCTCACCCCATTTTTTTTCGGGACGACACACAAATGCCTGAGCCCAAGTTCTCGGAAGAGTAGTGCAGCTTTGGCGAGAGACATGGTCTCCACCACCATGTAAGGGGACGTGTTTGTGATTGGGTGAAGATCCACGTACATCTCCATCTCCTCCTCGCTCAAATCCAAATCCTCAATCTTGAGCCCCTTTCCCGACCCGGCCTTTGCAAAGTCGAAAGCATGGAACACCCTCAGCAGCTCCGACCCTGACAGCACTTTGTTCTTAGTGAACTTCTTCCTGTTCAGTAAAACTAGAAGGTGGGCCCTCAGAACAAGCCCGCACAACTCAGGTGCATCTGAGAAGGGGGGCTCTTCCACCACCGGAAACCCATTGTGCCCCGTCATCCGCAGTGCGTGCACAATGGTCCCGACCCGCTCGACTCCCGCAAAAGTGATGAGCGGGCCCGCACAGACATCCCCAGCAGCCAGGTGTCGCATGTATGGCTCAGCGTGGGCCTCCATGTACGGAAGCCCCTTCATCTTGACAATCTGGTCATAAACACCCTTGTTGAAACTGTCGGCCACCGTTTTTGAAATCAAAAGGACGAGCATCATGAGGGGGAGCATGAGGAGGTCGTTTGTGAGCTCGAGGAGGATGACGCACAGGGAGACTGTCATGCGCATGGTGCCGCCAAGGAAGGAGGCGGCCCCGAGGAGGGCAAAGAGGCCAGAGTCGAGGCTGGAGACAGGGCCCACAAGGCGGCCAGCCAGGCGCCCGTAGGAGGCACCAGCTAAGATGACTGGGATGAATAGGCCAGACGGGATGGCAATGCCGTAGGTGACGATGCCGAGGGAGAAGACGGCGATGAAGAAGGTGAGGAGGGTCGAGATTTGGAACTCGTTTCGGTTGCTGGAGCTGAGGAGGTTGCGGATAGCGTCGTCGTTGGTGTTGAGAAGGAGGGAGGCAAGGTCATTGTAGTGGCCAGGGGGGCACTGAAAGTTTTTGTAGTTGCCTGAGCGGCCCATCGTGGGGCACTGCTCCCCAGCCAGGTTGGCTGGGCAAGGGGTGCAGGGGGCCAGCCACGGGAGGCCGTATGCGCAGCAGGATGTCAGGAGGGATATAACGATCACGAGGCAAATCTTGAATCCCCGACCTCTCCTGAAAATTCATTTTTTTTTTGTTCCGAACAAAAACAAAAAAAAAATAAATAAATAAATACTAAACTATTCAGAATTAATTGTGATACTCCTTTTAATTCTGTTTTTATAGTTCAATGTATATTTATTTCATTTTCTTCCTAGTTACAACCATATTGAAATCGATACCATTGACATTTTTTTAGTTTATTTTAGGATTTATAAAGTATATGAAATGCATTTCATCATCTGTCTGGCAGACTACTAGATATATTGTGTGTTGGTCATGATATACTCGCATTTTCGCAACAAACAAGAATTATATTAGTGAAACATACAAGAAGTGGTGAATGCTGGCGAGCTTACTCGTTGATGAAGCTATAAGTCCTGAGGACCTTGTCAACGAGATAATTGTAGAGGCAGCCGAAAAGGCCACCGAGGACCCCAATGACTATGACCGCGAGCAGGTCAGTTGAGTTATAGGCGGGGACAGTGGAGTTCACGTCGAACATGATCAAACCTCCCTGGCCGAAGAGTCCGCATTTCCCACTTCGGCAAAAGCTAATGAAGGATCTTAAAACCACTGCCACAACAGCAGTGGTGAAGAAGGCCCTCCAAAGAAGCGCACTCCGCCACCTGCAACATCATACATATAATGCATAACACAGTCAAATCACCTCAGATTTGGAAGATGTCGTCACTATCCTTATGTGCTAGCAGCAATTTTTCTGAAAAAGAGCGCCAGGGTATTTTTGTGTATATTTTATTAAATTTTTTTCAATTGCAAACAATTTCTTCAATAAATATCTGGCTGTTCTGAACGTGAGCCGAGAGACTGAAAATGGTGTGGTCAAAAGAAAATTCAAAAGCGTCCACTCAACTACCCTCCATTTTATTATAACTGTTCAGTAGTCTACATTCAGGCTATGTTTTCTCGAAAACATGCTAAAGAAAAAACAATTACTTGAAAGATGAGGGAAGATGAAAGGGAGAGTTATACCATGAGGCTGCTTCTTCAAGTGCGAAAAGTACACCACCAACTGGAGCACGGAAAGCAGCGGCCACACCAGCAGCGGCTCCACATGTAATCAAATCCCTACGGTCTCGGTCATTTTTAAAGTATCTGAGCCATTTCCATGTCAAATGGTACTTGCGAGAGCCACCCTGTCCGAGTAAATTTGCTATACATGCACCAGTATGCACCATGGGTCCTTCCTTACCAACTACAAATCCAGCAGAAACTCCAAAAACGGAACCAAAAATCTATAAAAGGTGTATGTAAATATTTATTAGTAGACAACAGGAGAATAAAACTAAGAAGGCACTAACTGTGAGTCTAAAAGTCCAACATATTTAGAAAGAAGAATTGGAGAAGGAAAATGTTGAAGAACTTAAGATGTTAGTCAATGCCAGCCCACAAGACTATAATCCATTGGATAAATTCTACATTTTCTGATCCAGAAAGAGAAAGCAACTCATTTTTTACTACAGAAACATTAAGATTAAGCAAACTGAAATAAGCTAACATGAACTCTAAAGTCCAGATTCGGCGGAAAGGGAATGCATAATTCAAATTGCAACTAATTAATACCTAGAGGACAGGCTAGACATATAGAGACCAATCAAGAACCTGTCCCACGAAGGACCTCAGATATTATTTGACACATGTGATCTGGTATATTGACATTTTAAAATAAATGAAAAAGTTTTGCTTGTTTTCTGTCACTATCATACACAATGTTCACAAATTGAAAAGATTCACCTCTTATTTACCACGATCAATTACCATAATTGATGTGTGCGTTTTACGCCCGTTTAACTCAACAGAACATTACAACAAAGTAAATTAAGAAGGCTATAAGATAGGAAGTCATGACGTGTCCAGCTCACCTTTACAAATAGGGTACTGGGAGCCAAAATGGAATGAGCATCCACACCATTAAGGTAGGCCTTCACCTCAGGTATGCCAGACCCAGCTGCTGCTGGGGCAATGAACGCACAAAGTGCAGCAGCACAAATTGCGAGTATCAGATTCATGCCAGCAAAAGCTACAAATGCCGCAAAGAACCTGTTAAAATGAATAATTTCATCATAACTAAGGAAGCCTTATACGATCAATCAGAAAGTTCATCCGATCATGACCCAGAATATTCACTCTGTAGTCGGAGTTGGGCTTACTTATCCTTTAGCATCAAATTGCTCGTAATCAAAAGCTTGAAACCAGCAATGTTTTCAACCCCCAGATTATTGAGGAAGCCAACAAGGCCCGTGAGTAGTCCGATGAGAAGAACCAGTGTCCATTTGAGAAATATATACTGAAAAATCTCGATCTTTTTCCGAGATCTCCAGTCCTGCTTAATGAGTTCATTTTCAAGTATCCTGCAAAATCAGAGACGGGATCCAAGAAAAATCAGCTTTCATTTGACTACTGCAACTGTGTTTTGGATGGAACACAACCACAAAAATACAGCAACATGAATCCTGTAAGCTCTTACAACAAGAGAGGCATTAACAGTTGGCTATTCCAGGCTGTGAACCAAATTTAACAAAAAATCCCATAAAATCTTACACATGAATCAGATGTAACCTAGCATAATAATTTATATTTTTATTAAAAAAAATCGCAACTACATGATGAACCAAAATTATGGTGCCCAAATTGGAAAAATCAATCTGAAGCTTATATCAATCAAACTTTAAAGCACACATTTCCCCAACATATAAATCGAGTTCAACCAAGTGACCATGGCAGCGAGAAAGAAGAGAGAATCTGAATTAAGGAAAGTCGTACTCGTAATCGAGGCTCTCGATAGGATAAACCTTGGAACCAACAATGGCGATCTGAGAAGTGGCGTTGACTCTGCTTCTGGAGCTCAGCAGCGGCTCTCTCACGGCGCCCTCTCGCTCCCAAAACGACGACGCATGGCTGTCCCTCCTTTCGTACGGCCAATCTCTTTCCCCATCATTCTCCACATCCTCTTCTCCGCGAGCACAATCATGGCCGTCGCGATTATCCATAACAACAACAATGATAAGGAAAAAATAAAATAAAATTATTTACTCCGGTGACGAATTCTCAACGGAATCTCCGGTCAGATGCCAGGCTAGCCACGGCGGTTTGTCGGCGTATAATGATGAATAACGCAGATGCACAGGCAGAGGGATGAATATAACATACAACGAAAAAGGAATAACAGTTAAATGCGGAAGATTGTGGCTATATAAGGAAATGAACAGAGAGATGTGGGGTGTTTCCCAAAGAAAAAAAGGTTGAGCTTCGGAGCTTCTTCAATGGCGTCCATTGAAACTTCTGTCCGCTATATTTATATTGTGTGGCCCGCCTGCCTAAATAATTCTCTTTGATTTTTCTTTAATAATTTAATGTTTTTGCATACATCTATTTTTTCGGTCTGTTTGATGAAACACAACATTGAGAACTCTAGTTAAATTTGTGCCCAAATTCTATGGAACTATCGGATGTCTTTATTAGGAGTTATTCAAAATTTTATTTACTGACACCTGTCTAATGTGTATTTATTGCAGAATACATGTCAATACATCAGTTGTGAATAACTATGGATAACTCCAAAAGTTGAGTCATCCCATTATTGCATAGCAAAACCGTAACTATTTGCGTCGATAAGAGAAATGATATGACTCGCACACTTTCATTAAAACTTGATTAATATTGGAGAGGAATGTTCATCTACCCACGGTGGACACATATTAATATGCCCACTGCTTATGTGGCATTCACTCATTGGTGATGTATTTTTTTAAACATATTAACATCACCAATGTGTGCATACCACATAAGCGGTGGACATATTAACATGTGCCCACCGTGGCTAGGGGAGCATTATATTGATATTGGATACGGATGTTTATGCACTTAACATGTTTTAGGTATTTAGTTATAGTATTCGATCATGTATAAATGCACAGAGGGAAAAAAATTATATATTATATATATATGATATTTAAAAATTTAATTAGATAAAGTGTGTATTACATTTTAAAATTTTGATTATATGTAATTGTATAATATAAATATAAATTTAAACCAATTTTTTTTTTTTCATTGTATAACTATAATACAAAATAGGAATATTAACTGTAAAATGATTTAATATTGTATATTCATAAAATTTAAAATCTTGTAGAGCTATTACATAATAAAAAATTAATAATAATAAAGTTTTTTCTTGTGTAACTGTCGTTTGAATGATGGCCATAAAAATTCTCATTAAATAAAATCCTATTTTTATTAATTATTGATTGAATAAAATTTATTGAAACTTGTCAACAAATTATAATAAAAATAATCATTCTTTGATAATTGGTAAAAATGTCTTTTATGGATTTTATAAACAATTATAGTTGATGTTTTCTAGACCCAAAATGATAATACGGCTTTATAAACAATTATAGTTGATGTAACAAGCTAATCTGGACTTTTATATTTGTAACTGCTAATTAGTTATTTTGAGTAATGGGAATGGGAATATATAAGTAAGGTTCACGTGTCAAAGAGAGATTGCAAAGCGTTCTTCACTTTTTGACAAACAGATTTGATCGAATCTCAATTATTGCCAAATGTTGATGTTTTTCTTAAGTTATGGCCGAAAGGATTATCTTACACTTGACCACATGTATGTTTTAGTTCTATTTTTGTTGATGCATAAAAAATTCTAGAAAAGTAGATCTTTTTTTTTTTTTTTTTTACAATGAAAGAGGTCAAAAGGCCTAGGCTAAAACTTGTCGGGGATATGACACCCCAATATTATCGTGCATAAGCCAATCTCCCAAACCCGAAGGGGGGAAGAGAGCCGGTGCAGCCCAAGCGGGGAAGAGGCCGCCAAACTTGCCAAGGAGTCCACCACGAAATTCGCCTCCCTATGAACATGTTGAATACGAACACACCAATCCCTTTTAATAAGATCTTGAACAGCTCTAACCAAAGCTCCATGATGTCCATTCGTCCCCCCGATGCGAGGTTCAAACAATGCAACTGTTGGCGAAGGGTCGAAAAAACTCCCCGAAACTCAGGCGAGCCCGCACCTTGAACGTTCCATGCCACAATATTCATTATTAAACAATGCTAGGGATCAGAAACGGTCTTTACTGATCAAGGGCCTGAACATGCGTGTCCATCCGCTCCTCTAAGGCCATACGCTCGTCGGGTCCTCCGTCCGTATCCCATCCCAACACTTGGTCCTCCGGCCATGGGTCATGACGACGGACATTTTGCTCTCCCTTCGACATAACCCAATCGATTCCATGAGGTGCCACATGCTGGAAGTCTCCGCCGGAATGTGGTGACGCTGGTTCGTCCTCAACAATGACTGCACTATGTTTATTCGGGTCTAACCCAGCACTTATTTGGCTCGCTCGGCCTTTGGATGTGGCTGGCTCCTCGTGTCAGACCGGTTGTTGGATAGTTTCACGAAAGTTGGCTGGCCCGCCCCCACGGGTGGTGGCCTCAATCCTCATGCGATCCTTGTTTCCGACAAAACTGTGATCCTTCCCTCGACCAATATCTGTTACGTATGTCGACCGGCCATCTTGTACCTTACCTTTATTCTTCTCTTTGTTCTTGACCGCCCGCCAGTCGTGCCCCGCCTTGTCGCCAGTTGGAACTGTGTGCTGCTCCTTTGAGTAAGCAGCCGTAGAAGATGCCCCAAACTCAAATATCTGGTGTTTGTCTTTTGACCCATCCCTCTCCAGAAGCTCGTAGCGAGAACCCAATCCGTGATTCGGTCGTGGATGTGTTGCACCTGGCGTCTTCCCCGCACCCTTGTCACGCTTAGTGTATGTCCGTGTACGTTGAGGAACTTGTATCCATGGCCCGTACATTGATTCCGCACTTCTGCGGGCCTCTGTTTGGTCACCTTGAGGGCGGTCCACAGTAGCCGTCCCCGTGTTTGCATTAGTGTCGTGGGATCCTGTATGGCTCTCCTGTGTATGAGTTTTCGGGGTATAAAAACACCCGTGGCTCGAGATCCCAATCCGTCTGCATTGAAAAAAAATGTTAGGCAGATTCTCGTAAACCACCCGTTGGCTCCTGCCATTAATGGAGAAGTTGACGCAAAGGGGCTTAGTGAGGTCCACCATGACGGCGAGCCTGGCAAACTTACCTCGAGTTAGGGTCGCGGTTTGTTGGTCTATTTTCACCACCTTCCCCACAATCTGACCAATCGTGCGGAAGATTTTCTTATGGTACAAATGTGCCGGTAGCCCGGGTAGCCGAATCCAAGCCACAGTTGAAGGTAGTTCCTCCTTGTCCGCGTCAAAAGCAAGAGTCCATGGTTGCACATGCATGTAACTAGTCCCAACAACGTAGGGGCCTCCAGTAAGAACCCTAATTGCGTCGTCGTGATTACTAAAGTGGACTAGATAGAACCCATTCTCGAGATCCATCATATTGCATCCCGCCATGAAAGGCCACATCTTCGTCAGCCGGTTATACAATGAAGGCATAGTAAGTGCCTCGTCGAACGGTTTCAGCACGACCGCGTTTTTCCACTCCTTGTTAATGTTGCCGAAAAAGCTTTGTGCAATCTTAATTGCTGGTAAAGAGCTTGAGCGATCCACTACGACTTCCTCCTCCTCTTATACTTCTGGTCCTTCATCGTCAGATTGAATGTCCACATGGTGTCTCTGTTTATTGACCATGTCACGGAAAGTCCACTTGATTGGCGGAGGGTCCTTTGAAATTGAAGCTGGCGGAATTAGGGTTGGCGGGTCTTGGCGGTCTAAGTGGTCTCCGGTCCGTTTGAGTGTTCTCGACCTCTTAGTCGTCGGGATGACAGTTCGATCTAGCGCTGGGAATTCGGATTCATGATTCCCCGACAAAGGGGAGTCTCCCGGATCAAAGGTTGTCGGGCTGCCGAAGTGCGCAGAGAAACGATTAGGGGCGGAGGCGGTCATTTGAGATTTTTACAGAAAAGTAGATCTTTAGTCATTAGATTATTAGTACAATAGTTCTGTATTGTTAGGAAAATTATATTTAAAATTGAATAATAATAATATTAAAAATTGTTTTATTTTAAATATTTTTTTGAAAAAAACATATTATTATTTATATGTAAAATGATGCCGTCATTTACACGACTTACTATTTTATATTATAACTTTTTTTTTATATCAGATAACTGTTTATAGTTAAGTTATTTTATATAATTTTATTTTTGAATTCATATTAATAGGTAATTTAATTTATTTTACAAAGATAAATAAATTATTAACTATTTTGTATGTATAATATATATTTCAAATCGAAACTCATCAAGACATGATTAACTTAATATATTATAAATAAAATAATTGTTAGTAAATAAAAATGTACTAACTTTTAAATATATTTATAATTTAAGTTAGTAAATTTGTCATAATTCTAATAGATATATGAGAAAATATAAAGATTGAGAAAAAATTATCTTATAAACCATGTCTACAACAATAAATGATATTAAAACATAATTAATGCGCGTAAAAATGATCATAAATATCCAGTATATTTATCGATATTCCAAGTCTAATTATTTTTGGATTAGAAATAAATTAATGTTTATCCAAGCCAAACAACAAAGCTTAAAAATTTGACACATAGGATCTCGAATCGTTTGAATCTGTCACATAGGCTCAACACATTCAAGAATTATATATATGGGGTATTGAAAAAGGTTGATGGAATAATCTAAATAATAATTTTAACTTTATAATTAAATAGACTGATTTACTATAAAAAATATAGTAAAAATTACTTAAATAATTATATATATAAAAAATATAAATCAAACCATACCTACTTGTTCTAAATCATGCAATTTAGTTAATAAAACTGTAACACCCAAATTATTAATTACTATTTATGGAGCTCGATTATATTTCCATAAATATTAAGTTTCCTAATTTGATGCATTTATTATTATTATTATTTGTATTAAATTGAGTAATTAGTTTAAAGTTTAAGCCATGGAGAATTTATTCGATTTTAATTATTAAAGTCAAATTTA